TGTATTTTTGTTGTTTTCCAGTATAAATATATTAAAGTTAAAGTTTTTCAGACAAGTATCATGATAATGCCATGCTATTCTCTAAAAAATAAAAGTATTTTATTTTAAATTGATATATAAATTATTATATTATATTTTAATTTAACATATATAATATATGAATATAGTATAATTTCATATTATTATATTATATTTTAATTGTATTAACATATATATACACACACATTTAAAATACAACTTAAAGGCCTACTGTTAAATATTAATTTTCTGACAAATATCATGATAGTACCATTATATTCTGTATAATAAAATAATATGAAAAATTAATATTTATAAAATAAAGTTTTTCAGACAAGTATCATGATAATGCCATGCTATTCTGTAAAATATAATAGTATTTTATTTTAAATTGATATATAAATCATTATATTATATTTTAATTTAACGTATATAATATATGAATATAGTATATTTTCATATTATTATATTTTATTTTTATTAATATATATATATATATATATATATATATATATATATAGACAAACACACATTTAAAAAACAACTTAAAGGCCTACTGTTAAATATTAGTTTTCCGACAAATATCATGATAGTATCATTATATTCTGTATAATATAATATAAGTTATATATTAATTTAAAATACAATTAAATACTATTATATTATATATTAATTAATATTTTTATTATATATATATTTAATTTAAAGTAAAACTTTAGGCCTTGTAAGTTTTTCAGACAAGTATCATGATAGTGCCATTATATTGTGTATAATACAATGTATTATAACAAAAGTTATATATCAATTTAAAAATAAAATGAAATATTATAATATTAAATGTTCTACTTGATTTCAAATAAAGTGAGTGTGTTCAGGTGTTGAGCGTGTGCCTGATCTCAGCCTGTCCTCTCGCACTGAGTTGAGTAACAGAGCCTCGGTTGAAACACACTCTTTCCTAACACTGTGGCAGATTTCAGGTCTGGGACCGCAGATTGCTCCACAGCCATACGGAATCAAGTTACAACACACAAACATCAACAGTTGTGTGAATTAATAAATGTCAGAGTTCTCCAGTGGACGTGGCTCTAGCAGTCTGTCCCTGTGTGTTATCAGCCTCAGTTCATCTGGTGTTACGAGCAGCCAGAACCAGATAACTCAGAGCGAGTGCTATCAGTGGAAGCCACAGGAAGACCCGAACAGCCCTGTGTCCTGATGCTATCGCCAGCTCACTGTCCCACATGGTGTTGAAATCTCATCCGTCCCACTGAAGCTCGGCCTGAGCTCTCCCCGCTCAAACACCCGTGTCATCGTGTCCGTTTGAAGGGAGGAAAGATGACATTCTGCTATTGTGTTGTGCAATTTACAATCAATGCAGATTGACCAAAGAAACGGGCAAATCTGCAAAGTTGCTTGATTCGGTGTGTGGTGTAATATGTGCAAATTCAGCCAGATTCTGATGCATATTTTGTGGATACATTTATTTTTTCTAATCATAGAAAAGTCTGTGGTTTTGCATGTTTGGTTTAAAACTGCAGTTCCAATCAAAAGTTCCGAATTAGAATTCTAAAGTTCCGTTATCATTATATTCTTAAACAATAAAATCACATGACTGAATATTAATACAAAAGTCACGAGTATTTTACATATATGTCAGAAGAACAGAAACTGAAACTGTATAAAAATACAAAAACACATGTGAACACTGTCATGCATGTTTGTAATTCAATACAATGAATTAATTACAAATTATGGAAACACTTTATTTTACAGTGTCCATGTTACTGTAGTGATAACTATAAATTATGCATAATTACATTGCACCTAATCCTAACCCAATAGTAAGTACACTGTAACACAGACACTTTAAAATAAAAAATTATTTTAGCAAAGTAATTATTTTTGACATACAGAATTTGTTTGTAATGCGTTATTCTTGCTTCAGATATTCATTTGTTTAATTGTTAAACACTTTACGGTAAGGTCTCGTTATTTAACGTTAATTAATAATGAGCAAAACATTTGTTATAGTATTTATTAGTTTGTTAATGTTAATTAATAAAAAATACTCCTGTTCATTGTTAGTTCATGTCAGCTCACGTTCATTAAATAATATTAACATATGCAACTTTTGATTTTAATAATGTTATAGTAAATGCTGAAGTTAACTAACTAAAATGAATAAATGCTTTAGTTTACATGAAATACTTGTAATTTTCCTTATTGTAAGATGTAACCTCTAAGTTATAAATTTAGTTGAGAAGCCATTCAGTACAAAACATTTTAAAAATAGATTTTTATAAAAAAAAAAAAGAAGTATATTTTAGTCAAAACTTTAAAGATTGTGTCTATATATACAAACTGACTTTCAAAAAATAAACCAACCATGAGAAACATTCACTGCAGAATCTCCGATCTCTCCGGGAGGAATAAACAATTAAACGAGTTACAAGATTGAACTATTTATTTAAAATCAAAACAGAAAACGCTTGAGTTTTTTTTAGATTTGCTGTGATGTATAACACAACCAACTCAGCTTATCATTTCAAAATGACAGGTATTCCTGCTTCAGATGTTTGCAACTAGTTGAGATTTGACTAGTTCACAGTAGATTATTTCCCATGTTCACTTTGGGACGTTCACTGAAACTATAAGAAAGTCACGAATCTAATCTAAGATCAAGGTAACACTTTATTTTGATGGTCCCTTTTGAACATTCGGTTCACTAGAAGTAACTTTGCAACTACATGTCAACTTTTTCTACTAACCCTACCAGTCTACCGATACTCTACTAACCCTAACCCAGTCTACCGATACTCTACTAACCCTAACCCAGTCTACTAATACTCTACTAACCCTAACCCAGTCTACCGATACTCTACTAACCCTAACCCAGTCTACTAATACTCTACTAACCCTAACCCAGTCTACTGATACTCTACTAAACTCTACTAACCCTACCAGTCTACTGATACTCTACTAACCCTCTACTAATACTCTACTAACCCTAACCCAGTCTACTAATACTCTACTAACCCTAACCCAGTCTACTGATACTCTACTAACCCTAACCCAGTCTACCGATACTCTACTAACCCTAACCCAGTCTACTGATACTCTACTAACCCTAACCCAGTCTACTGATACTCTACTAACCCTAACCCAGTCTACCGATACTCTACTAACCCTAACCCAGTCTACTGATACTCTACTAACCCTAACCCAGTCTACTGATACTCTACTAACCCTAACCCAGTCTACTGATACTCTACTAAACTCTACTAACCCTACCAGTCTACTGATACTCTACTAACCCTCTACTAATACTCTACTAACCCTAACCCAGTCTACTAATACTCTACTAACCCTAACCCAGTCTACTGATACTCTACTAACCCTAACCCAGTCTACTAATACTCTACTAACCCTAACCCAGTCTACTAATACTCTACTAACCCAGTCTACCGATACTCTACTAACCCTAACCCAGTCTACTAATACTCTACTAACCCTAACCCAGTCTACCGATACTCTACTAACCCTAACCCAGTCTACTAATACTCTACTAACCCTAACCCAGTCTACTGATACTCTACTAAACTCTACTAACCCTACCAGTCTACTGATACTCTACTAACCCAGTCTACTGATACTCTACTAACCCTAACCCAGTCTAATAATACTCTACTAACCCTAACCCAGTCTACTGATACTCTACTAAACTCTACTAACCCTACCAGTCTACTGATACTCTACTAACCCAGTCTACTGATACTCTACTAACCCTAACCCAGTCTACTAATACTCTACTAACCCTAACCCAGTCTACTAATACTCTACTAAACCTAACCCAGTCTACTAATACTCTACTAACCCAGTCTACTAATACTCTACTAACCCAGTCTACTAATACTCTACTAACCCTAACCCAGTCTACTAATACTCCACTAACCCTAACCCAGTCTACTAATACTCTACTAACCCAGTCTACTAATACTCTACTAACCCTAACCCAGTCTACTAATACTCCACTAACCCTAAATCAGTCTACTAATACTCCACTAACCCTAACTAATACTCTACTAACCCAGTCTATTAATACTCCACTAACCCTAACTAATACTCTATTAACCCTAACCCAGTCTACTAATACTCTACTAACCCTAACCCAGTCTACTAATACTCCACTAACCCTAACTAATACTCTACTAACCCTAACCCAGTCTACTAATACTCTACTAACCCTAACCCAGTCTACTAATACTCTACTAACCCAGTCTACTAATACTCCACTAACCCTAACCCAGTCTACTAATACTCTACTAACCCTATGATGAGAGTTAGTAGACATGTAGGTGCAATACTTAGTCAACAGAATGTGTTAAAGGTGCAGTGTGTAATATTTAGGAGGATCTGCAATATTATATACATAACTATGTTTTCAGTGATGTATGAAGATCTTACCTAATGAACCGTTATGTGTTTATTAGCTTAGAATGAGGCGTTTCTCTCTACACACACCGCGGGTCCCCTTACATCGACATGTTTCTACGGTGGCCCTGTACGGACACACGCGTTCCGTCACTATGTTGTTCTTCGTGTAAAGAAGCTATAGCTAAAGTCAGCGAATAAAACACTGACACAATGATGAACAAGTCACAATAATATTCACAATAACATATCGTTTAACATAATTTCTTAATTTATCTTTGTAAAGAATCCTCATTGCTTAACTGGATACTCTCTGCTGTCTCAGACGACGACATCACTTCCTGTCGGCCACCGTAACTTCTAGTGGGTGCAATTCACAATCTCACCACTAGATGCCGCTAAACATCACACAGTGCACCTTTAAAGGGACCATGAAAATAAAGTGAAACCAAGATGAACAGAACCTGGAGTGTCTCAGCAGTTGTCGTCCTGCTCTTTGGCCTGTAGGTGGCGCTGTGACAGATAGTGTCTGAGCGAGTCCACCTCGTGTGACAGACGCTGTATGTGCATCTGAAGCCGGTGGTTCTCGTCCTGAAGCTGCAGCGCCCTCTGCTGGGTCAGCTGGATACGACGGCGAGCTTTATCACGACTCTTCCTCACGGCGATGTTGTTGCGCTCTCTGCGCAGGCGATACTCAACGCTGTCTTTACTCAAACCTCTCTTCTGTCCGCACTGGCGGAGAGCGGGCACTGGCGGCGGCAGAAGAAACTGGGAAAAATCCTTCCCAAAGATCAGCAGTTACCGAGAACGGAAAAGAAATAAAGTTTAGTGAAGGCGATTCATACAGAGATGACCACTCCACAAAACAAACACAACTAGTTCAAACTGATTTTGGCGTTAAAATAAAGTGCTACGATTCTTTCACCCGCACGTGAAATTCCCAGATTATAAACATTTCTCCCACTTCTTTCACGTTTTCCAGTTTTATAATTTAGCAAATGCTTTCTCCAGTTTTATAAAGACATTTTTTTACATTCTTTTTATCTTAATGTATTTATCCTTGTTGTCCGAACCACAAACATTCAATGGAATCTAACATTAATATTTTAATATAAGAAAAAAAAAAACTTTATTTATTGTTAATTGTAATTATTTCAGTGCCTCAAATAATTTCATGCAAACACATAAAAAAACAAATTATTCCAGAAAATGTTTTAAATAAAATCTATTAAAATTATTTATTATATAATATTTACTATTCTATCTAATTTAATAGTCACTAATATTAAGTATTTAGTCATAGAATTATTTACTAATTAATTTTACTCGTATTCTCAGACATGATTAATAAATTAATTGAGTGTTATTTTAATATAATTGAAAAACTAGGTTTTATTCATATATTGAACTGGTTTTTATTTGCATAGTTATTTTAATTTTAAAGTTTGAGTAATTTTTATTAGTATATGGGTTAGATATTATAAGTATAATATAAAATTAGAAATTGTTTAAATACATCGGTATAGTTTTATTCATTTTAGTACATCAAATTAAACTAAATATATTAAAATTATTAAAAAAATATATTATCTAACATTTCTTTCTACATTTATAACTATCATTATAATCATTAATAACTTAATGTTATTTTATAAACATAAAATATATCATTACTAATATGAATTATTTACTCCGCTTTATTCATTAATAAATAATAATTCTGTGTGTTATTTTAATATAATTGAGAAATTATTACAGTTTCATTAATATGTGGAATTATTTTATTTGTATATTTTATTTTTTGTTAAAGTTTTAGTAATTTTGTTGTGTTTTTGTCATTTTTACTAGTATGTGGGTTAGAAATTATAAGTATAATATAAAATTAGGATTTGTTTAAATACATCTATATCAGTGGTCTCAAACTCGCGGCCCGCGGGCCATTTGCGGCCCGCAGGGTGATATTTTGTGGCCCCCTACTTGACATTAAATGTTAATGTTAGTGCGGCCCATCGTTGCGTGTGCCGCGTTTTAAAAAAAATAAATGTTTTTTATCCCTTATGGGCTACCATAGATAGTCTCGTGTCAGCTTACGGTGGGTTTGTTGTCAATAGTTGTCATAGACAACCGCGAAGTACAAACATACTGCGCCTGGAAAAAAATGAGCGCGTCGCTTCAATTATGAGCGCGCTTGCCGCGCGCCTACATTTGAAATAACGAACTTGAGCGCGCAAAATATGTGAGCGCGATATGTGAACAGCCCCTTGGCGAGCTACCACCAATCAGGCCACGAGCTACTGGTAGCTCACGAGCGACGTGTTGGAGACCCCTGCTCTAAAACAATGTGAGAATAATCATTTTGAGCTTGTAATATGTGTCCAACAGGTTGATAAGAAGGTTTGCTTTGATTTGTGCAGTCAGTAATTTGAGACACTATACATGTGTAGAAATAATTCATTAAGACGGGCAGACATGACTGCAAATATTTGTATTTCAAAAGCAATAATTGTTTTTCTTAGTATAATAAAAGGAAATGTGCCTTCCAATAAAAAACATTCAATATCATTAATGTGTTGTATAAAGAAAATAAAAAGGACATAAGGAAATATAAATATCACAAATATGTGTTATAGACAAAGAAAGTTTGTAAAATGAACTTCAACTGTCAGAAGGACAGCTCATGAAGAACCAATCATGTACAGAAAGGTATGTTTAAATTCAGAGGAACTGTTCAGAAGAAACGTTAATAATAAATATTGAGAAGATTGGATCAGTTGTGCTCCTTTTTTGTAATACTTGAATACTATTTTTTGTGGAATACTTGATGCGGCCCAGCCTGACCCAGACTCTACCTCTAGCGGCCCCCAGTTAAGTTGAGTTTGAGACCCCTGATCTATATAGTTTTTATTCATTTTAGTACATCAAGTTAAACTAAATATATTAAAATTATTTAAAAAAAATATTATCTAACATTTCTTTCTACATTTATAACTATCATTAATAACTTAATGTTATTTTATAAACATAAAATATATAATTACTAATATGAATTATTTACTCTGGTTTATTCATTAATAAATAATAATTCTATGTTTAATTTTAATATAATTGAGAAACTATTACAGTTTCATTAATATGTAGAATTATTGTATTTGTATATTTTATTTTTTGTTAAAGTTTTAGTAATTTTGTTGTGTTTGTCATTTGCACAAGTATATAAGTTATTATACGTATAATATATAATTACACATGTTTTTTTTTTTTAAATACATCTTTATAGTTTTTATTAATCTTATTTCAGTTTTAGTTGTAGTTATTTTAGTACATCAACTTAAACTAAATGAAAAAGGAAAAGCTGCAATGGCAACTACCTGGAATAAAATGCGTTTTTGTAATATTTTATTTTAATTTTAACAATTTTTTATGGTTTTAGTTTGAGTTGTACTGTATTTATTTTAGTACATCAAGTTAAACTAAAATCTAAAACCATTAAATCCGTGTTTCAGTTATTTCATACTAAAATAAATACAGTACAACTCAAACTAAAACCATAAAAAAAAAACTTTAAATGAAAAATGGATTTAATGGTTTTAGATTTTAAAGTTTTTTATGGTTTTAGTTCCAGTAAACTATGATAACCCAGCAAACAACCACATGTTTATAGAAATGCTGAGATGTAAACAAAACCGGTGTATTGTTCACTGCTGAATCTCATTGCACATGAACATGTATTCATCAGTTTGATCATCAGAGGCTCGATGGCAGACACGCACAGGTGTGTGTGTGTGTGTGTGTGTGTGTGTTGTCACCTGCGGAGCGCTGTGGTTCTGCTGCGCGCTGCGTTCGCTGCTGCTGGTGTTCAGACAGGACGGGTACGCCAGGTAACCCAGACCCATCATTTGCTCCGCTGTCTTGGGAAAGCCCATGTTCTGGCCGTACAGACCCGAGTCCATCTGAGGCATGGGGTCCTGAGGAACCGACCCGTCGGGAGAGCTGGAGCACGGATGATGGAGGGAGAACATGCAGATGGAGGACGGTGAGCTGTCGGAGACGGACATCTGTGGATGAAGAAGATTTGAGGCTGTAGAAACATTAACACATGAGGTTATAAAGCTTAGTCTCGTGTGCTTACGCTGCTCAGTGCTGGGGAACGCTCTCCTCTCAAACGTTATGGGTCCTTCCACAAAATCCGTTATGATACAGGTACTTCAGCGCTCGTGACAACATCATTTCCTCTGTCACAACCATCTCTCTCTCCCTCCTTCCTCCTCCAATTATTTTTATCTTGCATCATAGATTGACTTCTTTTTTCCCCTCTTCATTTTCCTTTTATTACACTTTCTACAACCTTAACGTGTCCTTGCCGTCCAAACAACTGATATTCAAGAGAATCCAACACTTACATTTCCCTGTGATAAATTAGAATAGAATTAGAATTAGAAGAAAACTTTATTGTCCACCGGGGTGGAAATTTTTCTTTGGCTCACCAAACATACAAGACAGATAAACATACAGACAACGTCTCAAACATAGTAAAGGAAATAAAGATACAATGTAAAATATCATCATGAAAATAAATATACTTAAATACATTAAAATAACTCATTTGTTGTTGTCACTTGGTTTGGTTAACGATACTAAAGGCATTTGGGATAAAATATTTTTTAAAAGTACTTTTAGCCAGAGGCACATTTAGTAAATAATAATTATTATTGACTAAATCCTGGTTGGATTTGATATCATTTGTTATAATTATTTAAAAAACAAAAATGATTTCTGAAAAGTACTAGGTTTGATTAAAAAATGTAATTCATTTCAAATGATCTCTATTGACTTATCTATTATTTCTTTCTAATCATTATATATAGAGAGAGAGCTGTCAAATCGATTAATCCCAATTAATTGTATCTAACATAAAAGTTTGTAAATATATAATATGTGTGTGTGTGTATATATATATATATACACACACATACTTAACGATTAAGAAATTTGCCAGCTCAAACATACATACATATATATATAAAACAATTTGCAACTTTAGTACTAGTAAAGTTTAGTACTAGTAAAGTTTGGTACTAGTAAACTTTAGTAAAGTACTACTTTATTCAAATTATTAATGTATAATTTATAATATATATATAATTTAATATATTTTTATTAATTTATATAAAATAATGCATCTACATTTTAAATATGTAATCACAAATAAATGTATATTTTACTACTATAATTATTATTTACTAAATAAATACAACTAATAAATAAATATAGCTTTATTCTCAGGCATAATAAATAAACACAAAGATGTTTTTAGCAATTGCACCACTAAATTATTAGGCAGAAATGCGTCTAAACCGAAATTCACATTTATTTATTTATTTTTGTGCATTTATAAGAGATGGACCAAAGAGTGTACTCTTTACAGCTGATGAAAGTGAAACATAACAGCACATCTAGAATTAGACTTTTAAAAATGCCGGATTTTAAATATTCTGTCATGGCCTAAAAGAAGGTGGAGCCTTTTTCTTCTAAACAGTCGTAAATTACTTCATTTTTTACTTACTCCTACATCTATATTGTTACAGAAGTACATGTCAAATGACCTAAAAATACCTCATAGTCGATTGGCCAATCAGCTCCAGTGTTCACGATGAGCTCACTGGCGCCTCCTGCAGGATGACTGAGGAACTGCACACAGTGAACGTCTGAAAGACTCACATATAAGCATACAGGGATAAAAAATAAACTTGGTCACTTTTTGCCATTTATTGTGATAACCGTTTTACAATTTCAAAAATTAATTTAATGTAGAGTGTCATTTTCTACCGTCTTTCTAAAGTATGTTAAATTAGTTGATGCTGAATGGAGAATGTGGTAAAATGAAAATTCACCTTTAAATATTAACTCAACAACATCAACATACTGTATTATAAAGACAAAACAGAAACACTCACCTGAAACTCTGTGTCCATGGAAATATAAGTGGGGTCAAAAAACTGATATGCCGTTTCAGATCTTCATAAACTCATTTTATTTTGTCACTGCTATAAACGTAAGAGAAGGGCTTTCCAGTACAGTTTAAAGGTTTATAAATGTTTATACACACACACACACAAGCACATAAACACAGACACACAAAACAGATACATACACATTCATACATACATAAACACACACACACACACACACACACACACACACGTACGTACATACATACATACATACATACATAAACACACACACATACACACACACAAATGAGATTTTGTTTGCATCCACACAAATTTGCAGTTCACAAAACATCAGGTTTTGTGCCTTAGGAATTGTGGGAGAGACATTTATCAGTGCACTGGATATTACAAATTGCTTAATGTTCTAATCGCAAGCATTTCCTATGGCACATAAACATAAAACCTTTAAAACTAATAAACACTTGAACTTGTATATTATCTCTCTAACTAACATCTCTCAATGTCAGTGTTTCACAAGGGAAATGACATCACAGACGGAGCGAGAGCTGAGCTCGGGTCAGAACCTCACTGTGGATTTGTGGGTAATCTGGACGCTGATGCAGAACCTGCACAGAACAAACACTGATGACATCAGTCAGACACTTTCTGTGGACGCTTGTTTCCGCCACTGAATGAAAAATAAAAAATGTAATTGTGACTTTTTATCTCAGAATTGCGTGATATAGAGTCAAAATTGTGTGTTATAAAGTCAGAATTGTGAGATATAAACATGCAATTGCGAGAAATAAACTTGAAATTCTGAATTTTTATCTCAAAATTGCATGATATAAAGTCAGAATTGCGTGATATAAAGTCGCAATTGTGTGTTATAAAGTCAGAATTGTGAAATATGAACTCGAAATTCTGACTGCTTTCTCAGAATTGAATGTTTATATCTCGCAATTCTGACTTTATAACACAATTAGGAGTTATAAAGTCGTAATTGCGTGATATAAAGTCATAATTGCGTGATATAAAGTCACACAATTGTGAGAAATAAAGTCAGAATTGCGAGATATAAACTTGCAATTGTGATACAAAAAGTTGCGATTATCTTTTAAAATGTTTTATTCTGTGGCGTAAACAAGCTTCCATCAATGTTTTAGCATCTAATCGCTTTCAAAATGTAGAAAATCAAGTCCCACCCTACAGTAGAATATCCCAAATATATTCCCAAATACATCACATTATAGAAGTTTGCTGAGCATTTCCTTACAAACCTGACGACACACGTCAACAGCCTGCGTGTAATTCCTGCACTTCAGACAGTTGAAGGCGAGCCGGAACCCTGCGAATGATCCAGAGCAACAGCTGTAAAGGCAGATTATGACGTTCATGCTCTTATTTCCACAGGAATAATAAAGTCCCACCGACTGCAGGATCCACTCTGTTGCTGTATTTCCAGGCCAGTTCATATTGCAGCGCTGCATCTCTGTATCTCTGCTCGTTCTCCATCATCAAACCATGATACTCGTACGCTTTACAACACGACTGAAGGGTCACAACACAAACAATGTGTTATTTTAAGTTGAGAAAAGCCAAGCAAAAACAACTGATCATTCATTACCATATTACTAGCTCAAAATTGTTTTTATCTTAGACTGACTTCTTTTTTTCTTTATTTTTCCCCCAGTTTTAGAAGCACATTCTTATATATATATATAAATATTACATTATTTTCAATTGTTATAAACTATTTTATCATTATTATTATAAGTTATTTTTATTATTATTATATAATATAGCTTAATAACTAAATTAAACTATTTATCTGTAAAATTATCATTATCATTATTATTATATAAACTTAAAATATATAATAACTATTATTTACCATTTAACACTAATTATTTACTTTTAATTATTTATTTTCTTTTTTACTATATTTATTAATTTACTTCATATTTATTATATATATATATATATATATATATATACACACACAATAAATATGAAGTAAATAAATAAATATTTATTTATATACATTTATACTGCTATATATATATATATATATATATATATTCATGTTATATAATATATTAT